AGAGAAATGCAAATCAAAACTATAATGAGATACCATCTCACCCAACATTATTGGCACTAATCACAAAAACAGAAAAAAACAAATGTTGGAGAGGCTACAAGGAGACTGGAACGCCTGTACACTGCTGGTGGGAATGTAAAATGGTACATCCACTATGGAAAACAATATGGCACCTCCTTAAAAAGCTAGAAATAGAAATACCATATGATCCAGCAATCCCACTCCTAGGAACATATCCTAGAGAAATAAGAGCTGTCAGACAAATAGACATATGTACACTCATGTTCATTGCATTGTTATTCACAATAGCAAAAAGATGGAAACAACCTAAGATAAATGGATAAACAAATTATGGTACATACAGACAATGGAACACTATACAATGGTAAAGAAAAATGATGAATCTGCAAAACATCTCACAACGTGGATGAATCTGGACAGCATTATGCTGAGTGAAATAAGCCAATCACAAAAGGACAAATATTATATGAGACCACTATTAGAAAAAACCAAGAAAAGGTTTACACACAGAAAAAAAAAAAAAAATTTGATGGTTAGGAGGGAGGGTAGGGTGGCGAAATCACTTACTAAATAGAAAACAAATGTTAACTTTGGTAAAGGGAAAGACAACACACAATATAGGGGAAGGCAGCACAATGTAACCAAGGCAAAGCCATAGAAGCTTCAAACATATCCAAACACCTTCAAGGACCAAGCTACTGGGGCTGAGGGCTGGGGACCACAGTCTCAGGGGACATCTACATCAATTGGCACAACAGTTCATAAAGAAAATGTTCTACATCCTACTATGGTGAGTAGCGTCTGGGATCTTAAAGGCTTGCAAGTGGCCATCTAAGATACATCTATTGGTCCCATCACGTTCGGAACAAAGGAGAATGAAGAAAAACCAAAGACACAAGGAAAATATCAGTCCAAAGGACTAAAGGACCACATGAACCACAGCCTCCACCAGCCTGAGCCCAGAACTAGATGGTGCCTGGCTACCACCCCTGACCACTCTGACAGGGATCACAGTAGAGGGTTCTGGACATAGTGGGAGAAAAATGTAGAACAAAACTGAAACTCACAAAAAAAGACCAGACTTAGTGATCTGACAAAGACTGGAGGAAGCCCTGAGACTATGGGCCCCGGACACCCTGCTAACTCAGAAGTGAAGCCACTCCTGAAGTATACCTTTCAGCCAAAGATTAGACAGGCCTATAAAACAAACAATAACACATATGAGGAATGTGCTTAGTTCAACCAAGCATATGAGACCAAATGGGCAACCTGGACAGGAAACCTGGACAAATGCACACAGGAAACCTGGAGTGTAAAGGAAAAAGGGAAGAGTACTGACATTTTATTTGGGGGATTGTAATCAATGTCACAAAGCAATTTGTGTATAAATTTTTGAATGAGAAACTAATTTGCAATGTAAACTTTCACCGAAAACAGAATAAAATTTTAAAAAAAGAAACAAGTTCATAGGACAAATTAGACTTCAAGTTCCTTGAGAGTTTTTATTACAAAGATAGGTTACTAAATGACAAACATAAGGCAATGTTCTAGATATCTATTCTCACATGTTGTTGTTAGGTGCCGTTGAGTCGAATCTGACTCATAACCAGCCTATGTACAACAGAACGAAACAGTGCCTGGTCCTGGGTCATCCTCATAGTTGTTGGTATGCTTGAGCCCATATTATGACATTATTTTTAAGTTTTATTTTTGCTGTGTCAAATTTTACATATGGTAATGTATATTAACAAAAAAAAAAAAAAAGTTTAGAAAACTGTGACCAAGGTGCATTACTCTCTTCTTACATATAAAACAACATTAAGACATTTCTGGAAAATAATGGCATTTTTACAATCTATCACTAGAAAAGGACATTATGTTTGCTAGTGGGGCAGCAAAAATAAGGGAAATCCTTAATGAAATGGACTGACACAATAGCCATAATAATGAAGTCAAACATACCAACGATTATAAACAGGGCAGAGGACTGGGTAATGTTTTGTTCTGTTATACATAAGGTTGCCATGTGTCAGTCGACTCAATGACTACTAACAACAACATTAGTATCTTTAATAGTTAAGTACTTCAAAATTTCTATCCTCTTTAAAGTAGATGTTACTACTTAGAAAAGAGGTCAATAAAAATTTATTCTTTTAGTAATTATAATTTGCTCTTTGTACTACTTAACAGCTGAATCATAGTTACTTGACGAACTTGAAATTTAACGTTTATTATACATGGTTATATCTCCCAAGGTCTCCTTTAATCCAGTAAATTACATACCTCTGATTTTCTTGAGATACTCTGAGTTCCTTTGTATTCTGTTCCAGATGTTTCTGTATTAGCTCCTGTGTTCGAGCTTTTACTTCCTTTTCTATTGCTGCTTTTCTAAACTGGTTGAAGAGCTCATCTGAGGATTTTAGTACACCTGATGTTTTGACTGGTTTGCCTAAACTTTTCCAAGAGTCTGCATTCTTGATCTTTATATCCTAAAACAAATGTATGATTCAGTCTATGTCTACAGATGTCAATGAAATTTTGGAAGGAGGACAATAATTTTTTATACAGTAATAGATCAAATTACATTTTCAAAGATCCTCATGTACTTTTACTAAACTTAAGTAAGTTAAAGGTTATGAAAGTCAGGAAAACAATATAAAAAGTATAAGAATAAATAATGTAAACGTAATTATTCATCTGAGATCAAATGAAGGTAGTATGCTTGCTAGTTATTTCAATTTAAGATATACTAACTAACTTAAAATATATTAATTGTGTGACAATGTGCAGAAATAAATAAACCAGTCACTGTAATCAAGATATTTATGACCCTGTAGGGAGAATAAAACATTAATAAGATGATTAATGAGATGATTAATAAAAGGCAAAGTAAGATTAGGCCATAAGAATGGCATGGGATTTGTTGAGAACTCCCTGACATAGCTATGTTTTTCCTTTCTGTGGTAGGAAGAAAAAAATAACTGATTGTGACCACTGTTCTTAAACAAGATATGCCATGGTCTAGATCAGTACTGTCCAATAAAAATATATGTAATTCTAAATTTATTAGTAGCCACATTAAAAAGTAAAATTAATTTTAATATTTTAGATAACCTAACATACACAAAGCAGTATCATTTCAACATGTGCTCAGTATAAAAAATTTAAGATATTTTATTTCATACTAAGTCTTCAAAATCCAGTATATTTTTTATACTTATAGTACATCTCAATTCAGATGCTATATTCTAATGAGAAAAAATTGATTTGTATTTAGATGTCATAAAATTTATAGCTGAAAAAGCAGATGTATATAACCAAGCTGTTTCAAATACACTTAAGCTTTATAAAAACTGAATTGAATATCAATTTTTAAATTTACATTGATTAAAAATAAATAAAATTTTAAAATTAGCTCCTCAGTTATACTTGCCACATTTCAAGGACTCAATAGCCATACATGGCTAGTGGCTACCATATTGGATATTACAAGTCTCGGTGGCCATTCTAGAAGTTAACCTGCCTATCTGTGGCTAACAAAAGAGAATCAGGCAATGCCTAAACATCTTCTGTTGAATTTCCTTTTTTAATAATTGTCTAATTGATAATTATGCTTGATTGCTGTTTGATATATTTCCATGAAATAATTAGGGAAAAACTTGTCCAGGGTCTTATATAAGGAAAAAGAAAATTTATGACTGGATATATCCATGGGCCTTTAATTTCTGTCCTGAAATAATAAAAGGAATCAGAAACGAACTCCCCCACCAATACATGCGAAGACCTTTCCCAGTGGCCACCTAGATGAGCTTACAAAGCCTTCCCTATAAGTTGCCAATAAAACCTCTGTTTTCTCCCTATCCACAGAATGAGCTAAATACCAGTTCCAGAGCTAATCTGACTACTCAGTCGGTTAAAGAATCTCACCTTCAGACAAAGATTTGAACCAAGGCAGATAAATACCTGGTAGTATATTTACGTAGCATATTATGTTAAAGGAAAGATGATACCCTGGTCTCTTGCTCTGTGTCCTGAAATTTCTATTTCATTGCAATGAAATTTTGGCAGACCCTAAAACAGGAGAGAAAATTCACATGTGGGTTTGGAGTATAGCAAAGTTTCTCAGGTATTACTGAGAAGGATGAGAAATCTTTTCATAGGCAGAGATGAAGATGAAAAGCATTCCTCATAGAAGAAAACATAATCAAAGGTACTACCAGATGTATCTGAAGAGAAATGAGTAGTTCAGTTTCAATGAATTTCAAGGCACATAGTTAACACTGAAAAGCGAGACTGAGGTCAAAATGTAGAGGTGTTTAATTTTCATTCTTCTGGAAGAAATTGGAAACCACTGAAGGTTTCACACAAATGAATAATAAGATCAGTGCAGCACATCAAGAGGACTGATCTAAGAATTTAAAAGTGGAGGATTAAAACAAGGAGAGTCTCAAGTCAGTCAGATAAATTATGAATGTTAAAAGATCTAAGATTAGCACTGATGTCAGCAAAATGGTAGTGCAGGCAGCTCCAAGTTCCCATCCTTTCAGAGGAACATCAAAAAATATACTTAAGTTTGTATGTTTATATATGAGAAAATATAAGAACCAACTTTTCCAGAACTCTGGAAAATAGTCAAAGGTATACAGCAACCAAACAAATGCTGAATCAAGAAAAAGACAAATCAAAAATGGTAGCAAAGCTTTGTTGCATTTTTACATGCCCTTGTGGCACTGTCTCCCCAGCTCAGGGGCATCTTGAAGACAGCAGCCCATGTTCCCAGTGTGGGACTCCGGTATCTGGTTCTGGGAGGGAGTAGAGCAGACCTTATTTAGAAATAATTGTGTATGTTGGTTCTAACCTTTATGGGGGCTACACGAGGACTGACACAAGGTGCCTTTCTCTGTTTCACCTAACACAGAAACTACTCAAGGTGGTAATGGAGTAGGCATTGCTTAAAAATACTACAAGGTAACTGTATTAGAATTCTGTCTTAGTTATCTATGCTGCTATAACGGAAATACCACAAGTGGATGACTTTAACAAAGAGAAATTTATTCTCTCACAGTCTAGTAGGCTAAGTCCGAATTCAGGGTGCCAGCTTTAGGGGAAGGCTTTCTTTCTCTGTCGGCTCTGGAGGAAGGTCCTTGTCATCAATCTTCCCCTGGACAAGGAGCTTCTGAGTGCAGGGACCTCAGGTCCAAAGGACTTGCTATGGTCCCAGTGCTTCTTTCTTGGTGGTATGAGGTCCCCCATCTCTCTCCTCACTTCTCTCTATTCTATCTCAAAAGAGATTGACTTAAATTCTAGATTAATCTTGTAGATTGAGTCTACATAACTGCCGCTAATCCCATCTCATTAACATCATAGTGATAGGATTTACAACACATAGGAAAATCACATCAGATGACAAAATGGTGGACAATCACACGATACTGGGAATCATGACCTAGCCAGTTGACAGATAGTTTTTAGGGACAATTCAATCCATGACAGTAACGATCAACCCACAACTGCCTGGAGCAACATATTATGGTTGAGACATAAAATCGACTATTGAAGCCTTAAAGGAAAACCTGGGGTGGGTTGCTTTGGGAAATTAGGGCATTCAAAACCACCTGTGTATACTGGGAAACTCAGAAAGCCACGTGTATGCCACTCCGGGCAGGACACATACTCAGAAATACCTCAGAAGACCCTGGTCAGTAGGCTCAGTGCAAGCCTGGACAAGTGTTAAAGGAGAGCCCCTACACAGACCCAATCTGCAAAAACTGGGAGAAGTATTTTTTTCTTTCTTCTTCCTCTTCTCCATTTTTTCAGCTCCTGGCATTCAAGAAAATCTCCATCAAGAAATTAGCTGAGATTAGGAAGACAACATGACGCCATAGAAAGATGCATGATGCCATCCCCCTGCAGCAAAGACCTGAAAAACTAAGTAAAACAGATACAAACCTCAATCCTTGAACCCTAAGCATCAAATGAAAAGATAAAGAATTAAAAACCAAATGGAAGAAGAAACGAATGGAAAACTGAGAACGAGGAGAGATAAGGAGTGGAGGCTCTCTGCCAACTAACACAGCACAGTGTCACCATCTTGGAACACAGCGAGCATTGACCCCTGAAATTAAGGGAATTTGTAAAAACCAAACCAAACTTATAAGAAATATTAAAGGGAGTCCTTTGGCTACAGAACCAACAACATCAGGCAACAACCAGAGTCTAGGACATAGGACAGCATCAGCCAGATACCAACCTAGGTAAAGAACTCTCAATAATAAAACAAAGCTAAAAGACTTAAAACAGGGAAACAGAGAGATGTCAGTCTGTAAATGATGACAACGTCAAAACAATAAAAGGGGGAATAAACGGTGTAGGTATAAAAAAATAAACCCCGTTGCTATTGAGTCAATTCTGACTCATAGTGACCTTACAGGACAGAGTTGAACTGCCTCATAGAGCTTCTAAGGAGCAGCCGGTGGATTTGAACTGCCAACCTTTTGGTTAGCAGCCTAAGCGCTTAACCACTGTGAAACCAGGGCTCCAATGTAGGTATAGAACTTTAAATAGAGAAGAAGTCAAGACAGTATCAAGTAATAGAAGACTGGTTCAAACTTAGGAAGATAAGGGTAAATTTCAAGGTAATCACAAAGAAAATTAACAAACATACTCATCAGAATAAAAAAGTAGAAAAATGTGTCTCAGTTAACACAAAATCTATAACAATGAATAAAAGAATTCTACAAACAAAAGGAACTCAGTATAGGAAAGTAAGAGGAACAAAGAAAACATCAGCACCACCAAAAAAAAAAAAGGCACAACAATATGACAAAAATAAACTCATACCTATCGATAATCGCACTGAACGTAAATGGCTTAAATGCAACCATAAGGAGACAGAGAGGGACAGAATGGATTTAAAAAACACGACTCATCAATATGCTGTCTACAAGAGACACAAAATATATCAAACAAACAGGAATGGACCATAATTACCACAGCCTCCACCAGACTGAGTCCAGCACAACTAGTGGGTGCTCGGCTACCACTACTGATTGCTCTGACAGGGAGTACAACAGAGGGCCCTGGACAGAGCGGGAGAAAAATGTAGAACAAAATTCTAACTCACAAAAAAAGACCAGACGTACTGGCCCGACAGAGACTAGAGAAACCCCAAGAATATGGCCTCTGGACACTCCTAAAAGCATTAAAAGCAGGGACTCACACAGATACTTGTACTCCAATGTTCACAGCAGCATTATTTACAAACAGCCAAAAGGTGGAAATACCCAAGTGTCCATCAGTAGATGAATGGATTAAAAAAAAAATGTGGTATGTACATACAATGGAATATTATTCAGCAATAAGAAGGAATAAAGTTCTGATATATGCTGCAACATGAACCTTGAAAACAATCAGACACAAAAGGAAAATACTGAATGATTCCACTTTTTGGTATATCTGTTGTTGTTGTGTGCCACTGAGTTGATTCTGACTCATAGTGACCCTATAAGACAGAGTAGAACTGCCCCATAGGGTTTCCTAGACTAAAATCTTTTACAGGAACAGATCACCAGGTCTTTTCTCCCATGGAGTGGCTGGTAGGTTTGAACCACTGACCTTTTAGTTAGCAGCTGAGCACTTAACCATTGCACCACCAGGGCTCCTATTATGATATATCTAGAATAGGCAAATTCAGAGACAGAAAGTAGATTAGAGGTTACCAGGGGCTGGGGGAAGAGTGGAATGTAGCATTTTGAGTAAATGTGTATAGAGTTTCTGTTTGGGGTGATAAAAAAGTTTTGAAAATAGATAAAGGTGATGGTTGACCAACATTGTGAACGTAATTAATGCCACTAAATTCTACACTTAAAAGGTTAAAAAGACAAACTTTATGTTTTTTTACCACAATAAAAAAAATAAGGAAAAAGAAGTTCAGATTAAAAGAAATCACACATGGTTTATGTGGTGAGAACAGAAAAGGAGACATCTTAGAAGTAGAATCCAAAGAATTTAGCAATTCTCTGGCTGTAGGAGGCTGAGAAATTGTAAAACAAAAAATTAAAACTTAAAAGAGGTTGGGTCTAGATGTATGTATTTGAGTCATCTGTATAGAAACTATAACTGAAGTCACTCTAGGGGATGCTCAATAAGAGAAAGAAATGGTAGAAGCTCTTTGTTTCTCATCCCATCAAGGCTTTGGGAGCGATGCAGCAATTTTGAAGGTCACCAGCTCCTCTGAGAGAGCAAATTACAGGGACAGAAGAGTGGCCAGATGCTAGGTAAAAATAAGGCAGCGATTCTTAATTGGGGGCAATTTTGTACTCTCCAGGGAAAATTTGGCAATGTCTGGAAATAATTTTGGTTGTCACACAGGGGTAGAACATACTAATGTTACCTACTGAGGTGAGGGTTTCTGCTAAGTATTCTATAATGCAAAGGATAGCCTCCAACAAAGACTTATTTAGCCCAAAGTGCCAGTAGTACCATGGTTGAGAAACCCTGGCGTAAGGTGTAAATAGATAATGGGAAAATAAGACAGAAAGAGAGTTATAGAGATGACAGGAGAACTCCATGATAAATCTGTTGAATAAAAAGAAAATTAGGAATAGAAATGGATGGGTTAGTCTTGGCAAGAAGAACATCTTTTCCTGAGGCCGAAGTAAACAAGAGAAGAATGACGAAGTTAGAGGTTCTGAATACAAAGAGGAGAAGCTCAAAGAGTTTGTTGAAGTATTTTGTTTTAATCCTAGCTCTTATTTGAGCAAGATGCTTGAACAATCTGGGCCACAATTTATTTATGTCTTAGTTATCTAGTGCTGCTATAACAGAAATACTACAAGTGGATGGATGGGTTTAACAAAGAGAAGTTTATTCTCTCACAGTTTAGGAGGCTAGAAGTCCAAATTCAGGGTGCCAGCTCCAGGGGAAGGCTTTCTCTCTCTGTCAGCTCTGGGGGAAGGTCCTTATTATCAATCTTCCCCTGATCTAGGAGCTTCTCAGCACAGGGACCTCAGGGCTGAAGGATGCATTCCCCTCCTGGTTCTTCATTCTTGGTGGTAGGAGGTCCCCCCGTCTCTCTGCTGACTTCTCTCTTTTATATCTCAAAAGAGATTGACTAAAGATACAATCTAATCTTGTAGATTAAGTCCTACCTCATTAACATAACTACTTCTAACCCTGCCTCATTAACATCATAGAGGTAGGATTTATAACACATAGGAAAATCACATCAGATGACAAAATGGTAGACAATCACACAATACTGGGAATCATGGCCTAGCCAAGTTGACACACATTTTCGGGGGGACACAATCAATCCATAACAATTCATAAGGACTAACGCTCAAAGATCTCTTCTAGAATCAAATTTCTGTAGCCTCTCTTTTCAATAAGTGGTAACAAGGCTGATAGTGAGAAGGCAAGGGTGGGAAATGATGTCAAGAATGGAAACAGTTTGCCTGACCATTTGCTGTGAAGAGAACTATACAATCTCATTCCTTCTTAAACTTTCAACATTTCCATTTCTACTATGTGCTAGGCATTGAGAATAAAAAGATTAGACTTTAGTGCCTGGGGTCTTAAAGCTTGCAAGTGGCCATTCAAGGTACAATTGGTCTCTATTCACCTGAAGCAACAGAGGAAGGAGAGTCAGGAATAGGAAGAGGAAGTGGAATGCATGGCTGATTGCCTCCATGAACAACTGCCTCCTTTGCCATGAGATCAGAAGAACTGGATGGTGCCCAGCTACCATTGCTGAACATTTTGATTAAAGAGTCTACAGAAGAATCCTGATCAAAAGGGAGAAAATGCAGAACAAAATTTCAAATTCTCATGGACCTCTAGACTTTCTGGAGCTATGGAGGCTGGATGAACCCCTTAAACTACTGCCCTGAGATAATCTTTAAACCTTAAACTAAAAATATCCCCTGAAATCTTCCTAAAGCTAAACAATAGATTAGCTTAATTAGTAAACAATGTCTGCCTTGAGCATTGTGCTGTTTTAAAGAACTATGTATATGGGATCAAACTGACAACAGCAACTCGAAAGGTTAAATACGAAGCTTAGGGGGCAGTGAGTTTATGTTAACAAGGGAGGAATAATTTGGAAAAGGAGGGTGAGAATGGTTTGTACAACTCAAAGAATGTAATCAATGTCACTGAATTGTACATGTAGAAGTTGCCAAAGTGGTATATGTTCTGCTGTGTATATTTTCAACAACAATAAATAAAAATAAATCATTAAAAAAAAAAGTGGACTTATGTCAATTTCACCTATAGCACAAACTTCAACGGTATGACATATACTTGATGTTTTGCTGAGTATTTTCGCTGTAATCCCTTTGTCCTTTTGGAAATCTTAAACTGTTTTCAGATACTATTCTGGGTCAGTCAAAATTATAGTTTTGTTAAATTAGAAATGGGGTACATAAAGATTATAGTACATAGTGAACTAAATGTTTAAGAAATTCTGCAGCACTATTTTTTCCATCCTAAAGGGGGATGGATGACACTTCTATTGTTCAAGTCAAAAAATAAAGATACATAATTAATCACTTAATTAATTAATTAATCTTGGTTATCAGAAAAGGCACTTTTTAAATGGTTCTTATCCATACTTATTAATAACAAAATATCCAAACTAAACAGTTAGTCTTTAATGATAATAACTCTTAATACAGCAGTAAGAAAATCAAGCATACTAAGAATGCACAAGGGCTGAAAGAGTATACTCCTTGTGATGGAATGTTACAGTAAGTGTGCCCAAACAATAATTTCAAAACACTAAGGCTAAGATTTGTCCTCTGAAGTATCTGTTAAAAAATAAAACAGAAAAAAAGAGGGGGTATATATAAATATCCCCTTCATAATCACTTTTTGAGAATTACAATTAAATGCCTAGAGCAGTACCGTATGTATCTAATATATCCCAAACATCTAGAATATATGTTGATAGAATGATAATCAGTTGTGGTTTGAGATTAAGTACACATAAGATTCCATTAGAAAATCCTCCCTAAAGGATTCTAAAAGGTAGTTTTATGACATGCTTTCAAATTAGGATGACTGGCAAATATTAGCATTATAGAATTTGCAATTAAACACAAGCATGAGGTAGGGGAAAGGTGTTGCTCACAGGTAATTTTTTTTTTTTTTTAATTTAAATTGGCAAAAATTAGGCACAGAGATTCAAAATCTCATTCAAGTTAGGGCTAAAATACCTCACTACTTCATTATATGAATAAGTTTTCACAACATTTTCCTAACTTCTCTAACACAGAACAGTTTGGCCTAGCAAGCCGTTTTATATAAATGACAATGTAACTTAATAATATTGCATTTTATATGCTTCAAAAGAAGCCAATGCTGAAATTTAGATGAATTTTTGAAGATACTTAATTTGGATGGAAAGGGAGAAGAGCCTGTAGATGAACCATAAACAATTTTAAATCTCTTCAAGATTTGTGGGGAAAAACAAGTAACATTACTCTTACCTTCTGCACAGGAACTTGACATTCAGGTTCTACCACAATTGTGTCAATGTTACCAGACTGATGCATCACAGTTAGGTCATTCAAGCCTTGCTCAGATTCACCTAGATGCAAACATTTTTAGAATACTATAATCAAGATATTTCATCATGCATCTCATAACATGGACGAAACTGGAGGACATTATGCTGAGTGAAGTAAGTCAATCACAAAAGGACAAATATTGTATGAGACCTCTACTGTAAAAACTCATTAAAAAGTTTACACACAGAAAGAAACAATCTTTGTTGGTTACGAAGGGTGGGAGGGGTGGGGGGAAATACTAAGTAGACAATAGGTAAGTGGTAATTTTGGTGAAGGGTAAGACAGTACACAATACTGAGGAAGCCAGCACAACTTGTACAAGGAAAGGTCAGGGAAGCTCCATAGACACTTCCAAACTCCCTGAGGGACTGAATTGCTGGGCAGAGGGCTGTGGGGACCATGGTCTCAGGGAACATCTAGCTCATTTGGCATAACACAGTTTATAAAGAAAATGTTCTACATTCTACCTTGGTGAGTAGCGTCTGGGGTCTTAAAAGCCTGTGAGGAGCCATCTAAGATACTCAACTGGTCTCACCCCTTCGGGAGCAAGGGAGAATGAAGAAAACAAGATACAAGGAAAAGATTGGTCCAAAGGATTAACAGACCACAACTACCACAGTCTCCACCAGACTGAGTCCAGTACAACTAGAAGGTTCCCAGCTACCACCAGACTGACTGCTCTGACAGGGATCACAACACAGGGTCCTAGACAGAGCTAGAGAAAAATGTAGAACAAAATTCTAACTCACAAAAAAAGACCAGACTTACTGCCCTGACAGAGACTGGAGAAACCTCGAGAGTATGGCCCCCAGACACCCTTTCAGCTCAGTAATGAAGTCACTCCCGAGGTTCACCATTCAGCCAAAGATTAGATAGCCCCATAAAACAAAATGAGACTAATGGGGCACAACAGTCCAGGGACAAGGACTGGCAGGAGAGAAAGGAAAGCTGGTAATAGGGAACCCAAGGTTAAGCAGGGACAGTGTTGACATGTCGTGGAGTTGTTAACCATTGTCATAAAACAATACGTGTACTAACTATTTAATAAGAAACTATTTGTTCTGGAAACTTTCATTGTCTAAAGTACAAAAAAAAATAAAAGATACTTCATCCTGCTTGTCTGGAATTTGATTTCGTTTCCTTCTACATTAGAAACTATGAAAACTAAGTGACTAACTCCTTGATTCTTAACTTGGGCATACTCTTAGTTGGGAACTTGCTTTACTATAAAATAAGCATTTCCCACTTGAAATGTTTTATTATTTTTTTTGTGTGTGAGCATGAAGTGTAGCAGACATTGTGGCTCACTGCCCAGAATCCATTTTACCTGTCTCCATGGTATAGCAGCTCTCCAGTTTATAGATAGACCTCAGCTCCAGGAATGGGTCTTGATTAGTCCAAACCAATCATGGTAATCCTATCCCCCTACCAATAACTCACCTAGGGAAGGGCAGGTCTAAACCAATGTAGGGCTTCCAGGGAAAGATGCTGCCTGGTGGCCAATTTGACAACAAAGAAAACACAGAGAATGGAAGAACTAAGACACTAGACACCGATTAATAGCTAGATTAACAGCAGGCAAAAGAACAGGAATGACAAATGCAAAAGGTTTGTTTGACCATTTGTAGTGAAGAGAACAAGCTACACAAGCCCGTTAGTTCTTAAGCTTCCATCCAAATATTTCATTTCTTATTATGGGTAAAGATAACTACAGAAATAGAGTCTGAGAGCTTATCAAACCATGCCCAAATGACTGACCTGCCTTTGGACTACTAGTTACCATATTTTTATGCAAATAATGCATACCTTCTATGTTTGTTTGCCAACCGCCCCCCTCCCCCTCAATGTATTAAGTGCCGCAAAGTGAATTTTTTTAACATGTTACTGTAAGAAAATTAGCATAGCATGCTTACTAAAATACCTCATGTGAGAAAGAAGCGGTTGGCAAACAAATGTAGAAGGCGCACATTATTTGTGTAAAAATACAGTCAGTATGCTAGCAAAACTATTTTTTAAATTAATCTGAACTGAGTTTTCTGTCATTTGCAACCAAGAAGATCCTGAGGCATGACTTAACTGGATCATTTCTGTTTCAATTACACACAGTCCTTGCCTAACTACTGGCAAAAGAACAGAGAGGGCAAATCAAGTATTTACTGCATTTCTATCTTTGTTTATTGACTCCTCCAGCACACAAAATTCTGGCCACTTATATACTGTAGAAACTTACAAATAAGCTTCAAGCACTCATCTGTAAGTCTTAATACAAGGCTACACCATTACTGAATTATGATATATCATCCCTCGACCGATTCTCTGGCTAAATCATACTAGTTGAAGCTGAGGGTAGAAGAAGAGAGAAAGAAACATCAAGAAGATAGAGGTGAGAGTAGGAACACTGTCAAAAGATACATGAATAAAGAACAAATTTTAAACTTCTATGTCCTACACAGCCCAATGTACCTATGTTTCGTCTGTTCAACAGGAAATTGAAAAATAGGGAGACAATCTAAGATACAACTATTGGTCTCTACTCGTCCAGAACAAAAGACAGAAGGAAATCAAAGACTCAAGGAAGAAACTAGTCTACAGGACTAACAGTCTACACAAACAACAGCCTCACCTACCTTGAGACCAGAAGAACTAGATGGTGCCCAGCTACCACTACCAACTGTACTGACCAGGGACACAATAGATGCTAGAATGGGAGAAAAATGTAGAACAAAACTCAAATTCCTAAAAAAAAAAAAAAAAAAAGCCACACTTAACTGGACTGGTAGAGACTAGAGGAACCCCTGAGACTGGAACTCAAACCACTCCTGGAGGTCATTTTCAGCCAAATGACAAACTGGTTCATAAAATAGTATTACCTGTGAGTATTGTGCTCCTCTATATAATCATCTAAATGAAACCAAATGGTAAACATTTACCCTAGGCCAAAGATGAGAAAGTAAAGGGGGGACAGGGAAGTTAGTGTAATGGAAACAGAACAAGCAGAATGAAAATAGTAAGAATGCTGACACATTGTGAAAAATGTAACCAATGTCACTGAACAATATGTATAGAAATTGTTAAATGAGAACCTAATTCGCTGTATAAATTTTCACCAAAAATGCAATAAAATATTTTGTTAAAAAGACAGAAAAATAGGGAGAAAACCTATAAATACAGAAATGTATCGCTTATCTACTTGGTGCTGGATATATTTAGGAAGTGAAAATATATATGTCAAGTGAAGTAAATTATAATATGACTCCCAGTTTGCTATTATCAAGAATTAAAGGGGAAAGATTAAAATTTGGGGATTAAAAAAAGGAAAATTCAGTTTTGACATACTGTGTTTGAAATACCTATGTGATATTCAGGTAAAGACATGCAGGAGACTGTATAAACATGCCTTGGGCCCAGATAGGTGTGAGTTGAAAAAATGAGAATAGAAATCATAGGCACCAAGATCACCTAGGAAAAATACATACAGTACTACTTTCCAACTTTTTCAATGTAATAACATGTACAAAATAATTAATGTATGGCATATCTGGGATAATGGGAAGTCTACTCCAAGCCTATTTGTTAAGAGAGCTGAGAGAATCATCAGCTCATAAGTTTGTGCTTTGTAACATAGTTGGGGGGGTCTGGAGTGGGGTAAAAAGAGGCTTAAGAATACAACCCAAAGTAGTACCAACGTTTAAATGTAAGCAGATGGAAGAGAATTGTAAAGGAACATTCAGATAGATGGGATGGTTAAGAGAATAGTATCACAGAAGTCTAGGAAGCGTGTCCAACTCTGAAAAACATCTTTACATGACTAACATCTGGAGCATCAAAACACTATAAAAATACAGAACTTGTCTCTCCTCAAACACTAGTTCTTTATCTGTGTTCCAGGTCTGTTAACCATGATCTGTATCCTCTGGGCCACCAAAGCTTATATATTCACCCTTATTAAAATCTAGCATATACTCATCATTTGCAGACCTACTCATTCTGCCTTCATACTTTCTTTCAACTTTCCCCTTTTCTTTCTTTCCATCACCTTACTTCATTATTTTTTCTACTACTCTAACGACCTAATTGGTCTCCTCCAACTCTGGTCTCTATGTCCCGATCCCCCAATTGACCTTACATAATATTGGCAGATTTCCTTGAAGCACATGCCTTGTTCAAAAAACGTTCATTGACTCCCGCTGACTGTACCATTAAGTTCAAAATGTCTAGATCTAGATCTCAAGGCTCTTTATGATCTGAACCTCATCTACCTTTCCAAAGTTATTTCCTTACACTCTTGTTTGTCCAACCAAACACTTTAACCACATTGAACTATTAGTTATCTATTAGTTATCATTCCACCTGGAACACCTTTCCATCCTAAATATACATAACTCTTATTTTTTCTCCAATGTCCAGCTCAAGTGATACTTGTTCTATAAACTGTGCATCTGGCAAAGAGATCAAATAATTCTGCCTTTCTTACCTCTTTAAATTTTACTTTTGCTTCTTTTGTTGTTGTTGTTAGGTGCCATCAAGTTGACTTCGACTCATAGAGATCCCATGTGACAGAGTAGAACTGCCCCATAGGGTTTTCTAGGCTGTAATCTTTACAGGAGCAGATCACCAGGTCTTTCTCCCAAGTAGCCACCGGATGGGTTGAACTTTTCAGTTAGCAGTTGAGTGTGTAACCGCTGTGCCACCAGGGTTTCTTCGCTTCTTTTAGGACATCTTATTTTCACTTTATATACCAGTTGCTTACTTCCCCTACTAGTTGGAAAACTCCCTGATTTATCTTTTTATTTGCCATTGGAACTCACATTGATACAACAGCATAGGTATTTGTTTAAAAAAGTAAAAACTCAATACAAATTCAGTGGAGATTTTTATGCAGGGAAAGGGTAAGTTATAAGGTTGGTAAACCTTTGTGAGAATAAACTTCAACTTATCATAAGGAAAAAAATTAGACATCTTCTAGTTATGTGGAGATGATGATGGGTATTTTGAAAAAACTAATAACACTTAAAAATTC